ACAGAACTGATTTTAAAATAAGTGCATGTATGGTATTTTAAAACAGATGTGTTACACAGTCTAAGAATTGTTCTGAAAAAACAAGGTATCAGCTAACTTAGTAGTATTGTCAACGTCAGTTGAGCTAACTAATTTCAGGCAAAGGAGTCATCCTTCAAATATACGTCGTGTATTTATTATCCAATTCACAGAGGCTAAACAAAGCAGCACTGAGTCTTTATGATGATTAAAATGTCAAAAGAAAATCTAATCAGTCATACTGAGAATTTTCCTCAGACTGTATTGTGGCTGTTATACTCTTCACTGTTGATGACAGAGGAGGTCCAGTACAGAGGGCATGCCATGATCCTTAACGTGTACATGATACAGATAGGAGTCATTCTTAGAGCATCATTAAGGAATATAGGGAGCAGCATAGCTGCACCTCCTGAGTTCCTGGAAGATCACTCATTTGTAGCATAAACAGGAATGTGGCCTTGAAAGCACTGCATGCAAACTGTTCCTCTATGCCATCACGTTCAGCAGTGCATGACAGATTTCTAAGGGCATTGCCCTGAGCACATTTCCTGTTGAATGAGTTGTTATTATGTCTCTCCCTCCCCCCAGGCACACAATGTCTCCTGCATTTCCCCTCAGGTAATATGGCTGTACTTCACACTGTGGGTCTGTCTCTTACAGGCACAGCCTTGTTTTCTTTTTATATGTATCTGCAATTAAGTGGTAGTAATGTAAAACTAACTGCATCTTACTGTTTTTAGTATCTGTGCTCTCCTGAGACTATCAGTTATAAAAATGATGTTTTGTTTAGGAAGTAATGCAGTAACAATGCAAGTCCTTCACAAAAAGAACAGAAAAAGTTGTGAGTATATAAAGGAAATCATAACGAAATTTCTCAAGCTGAGCATATTTTCTCTTTTTATTGTTTTCAATATAATCTTATTCTGTACTTATCTATTGTAATTACATTAAGAAACAGCTTGAAGACTCTTGCCGTTATTAATTTTTGGTTTAGAAATACAATTGTATATGCAATAAAAAAAGATCTTATAAACAATCTTAATTTGTTCATAATAAATGACATGCCTCTGTGACTACTGAATGAATTTATATATGAAAAAATGTATTTACAAAGATCCAGATTCAAGAACATCACACATAAGAAAGAATATTTTTCCATTTCTGTTAAAAAAAAAAAAAAAGAAAAAAAAAAAAAGTACCTATCCAGGCTACCCCTGGGAAGTGAGAGATCTGGAAAAGTAGTAATTATCAAAACTGTACTTCATACATATAATGTAAAGCATTCACATTCCTTTCTAAATGTATATTTACTTTATTTCATTTTTGAGAGAAACACCAATGAAGTCACTAACTTGAAGCAAGCACATTTTATCATGCATCATTAGCAGCTTCATAGAGAGACTGGCTTTGGTTTGTGCCTGTGGGAATCAAATGTTGTTTCTGCATTAGAATTGTATAATATTATTTTTATTTCATGATCTCTGCTATCATAGTTCTTTTTGGGAGTCCTTCTACTTAACTTGGGGAAGATCTCTGATAAATTTACATCACTTATCCTCTGGACTAACCTTCCCAGGAACGCACACTCTGTATATAGGTGCATATACGTACATTTTGTCATACACACTGCAAGAATATCCTGCATGAGATCAAGCCATGGCATGCCCGAGGAAGCGCCTGAAGAGACATCGGAAGGCCCGACTTCATCCCCCAAATGCTCTTTGTTTAACGATGACTTTAAAGGAAAACACCATATCAATAAGTCAAGGAGAGCACAGAGACATCTTGGAAACAACAGGATGACTACTGACTGACACCAGATAACAAATAAATTAACAAGTAAATAGCAAATGTCAACCTTCTGATAAGATTGTGAACCTGGAGTACCCAGCCATTGGGGAAACAGGGGAGGGGGGAGGCAAGGGGGAGAAAACAGGGCATAAAGGCTGTCATGTTGCGTCCATAGCTGCGCTCCTGCTTGCGGGATGCCCGCCATTGCAATCGCGAATAAATTCTGCTTTTATCAGAGATACCGTCCTGACAAAAATTACTTGGATATTTCCAACACGCATGACAACAATCTCAAAGTAATGAAAAATTTCAAAATAAGATATAATTCTTAATTGTTAGTTATATCTGAAGCCCATGAACCCAACCTTTCAAATTAACTGAAAACACCTGAAGTGCCAATACACCACGAAAACTTGGAAAGCACCTGTGAAGGGCTTCTTCCTCTTTTCTAGAACTAATGCAATGACTTACAGATAGCACTGTGTCTGCAGCTGACCCAGGATGATTACAGAAAAGCACTGCATATTAAAAAAGATCCCAACATATGAAGGGCCTATGCAAAGGTCTAGAACTTCCTAAAAGTAAATGTTCGTTGTGTGAGACTTCAAACTTTGCTACTAATCTGCATGCATTGCATCTCCATACAAATGTACTCAAATTGTATACTGCAGTTAAAGAGAGTTCTGTCCCTCTAGGGTGTTGTCTTTTCTTTTCAATGAATGATTTGCAATTATAGAATCATAGAATAACCTGAGTTGGAAGGGTCCTGCCAGGATCACCAAGCAGATCTGAAAGCATAGTCCAAATGCTCCCTGAACTCTGGCACTTTGCCTTGGGCAGCCTTTCCCAGTGCTCTGGGAAAGGAGCACCCTGTGGTGCAGACCCTGTCCCCAAACCCCAGCTGCCCATCCCCTGACACAGCTCCATGCCGTTCCCTCGGGCCCTGCTGCTGCCACACAGAGCAGAGCTCAGCGCTGCCTCTCTGCTCCTGTGAGGTTCTGAAGCTGGGCTCCTCTGCGCTGGGCTGAACCAACCCAGGGACCTCAGTTGCTCCTCACACATCTTGACCTCCAGCCCCTTCTCCACCTTCACTATCCTGCTCTAGACGCTCTCTGGTAGCTTTATGTCCTTCAAATTTGCACACAGTGCTGGAGGTGAGGCTGCACCAGATGAGAGAAGAACAGAGCAGGACCAGCCCTCCCCTGGCTCTGCTGGCAGTGCTGAGCATGGTGCACCTCAGGGTACGGTTGGCCCTTTGGGCTGCCAGGACTGTTGGGATAGCTCTTAAACAACCTGCCTGTTAAAAACTGTGATAAGATATACAAAATTGTATATTCACCAGAAAACTCAGTTAAATGAGCATCTCTTTATACTGTTGTTTTTGTGTTTCTTTGTTTGTGTTTTTGTTTTTTTCCCCTCATAGAATAGTTGTTTACAAAAGCTCTGTCTGGAATAAAACTGTTCTAGGAGAGAGAGAAGGTTTGAAGTTCAAAAGTTGAGCTTGGGACTTTTTTTTTTTTTTTTTTTTTTTAATGTTTATGACTCTCTCTTGCTGGTCCCTAAATCTCTTCCCCGGCATATACACTCACATTCCTCTATTTGGATTAAAAAGGTTGCTACACGCAGTGAGGACTTCATACAATGAAGTTTTAATGATGTGACCAGGGGATAGAGCTTACTAACAGTTCTGATATCTTCCTAGTTGGATACCAGTACATAAGAGAAGAAAAAGAACCACCAATACCTATGTATAATTAACGCCTTCAAAAGGAGTCTCATTTTTTCAGTGCTAAGTTTGATGTCCTGAAATATGACTGCATCACCTTACCTGCGTCTTTGAATGTTATACACAGCTGTACTTAGTTGTAACGACACAGCTAAATTCTTCTGATATCTGGCTTCAATAATAATCCATGGGGTTATTCAATTATTCAAGCCCTTTCCAGTTTTTATATGCATCATATGTATCTTTCTCTTTGAGCTTTTTGCATACTAATGCAGAGAAACATGCTCAAAAAGGCAATGTAAATATCCATATTTCTGCTTCTTGCACCTTATTCTCCTCAATGATGAATACCAGCAAATAGCTGTTTCTTGTAGGTGTCTTACTGCCTACAAGCTTCTTAAAATCTAGGTTTATACTTAACATTAAAAGAAGTCACGTTTTTCCTGACTACATTTTTCATAAATAATTTTAAGATCAGTCAAACTATTTCAAAGAGCAGCCTCTGATCTGCAGATCAGATCCAAGGGCTGGCAAAAACCTGCTTACACAGCAAACACAGCTTACATAATACGTGCGCCTGAACTGAGGGAACAAAAACAGTTCTATGCATAAAATTTTCTGAGTATATACTCAACAAATAAAACCTGATTTTCACCTAACACAAGTGTTTTTGCTGAATACTCATGCCATTTTATTTGAGAAAACATTTATAAGAAGCATGAGGCAAAAAAGAGTCTTATGATGAAAATCACATAGGAGACACGCTAATTCCCCCAAATCCAGGAAATTTCTTTTACAGATGCATTTAACTTTAGAGCAAACAAAAGATATCTTGATTATTTAACTCATATCAGTCACCTTTGACTAGAAATGAAAACATACATAACCCTGTCAACTGCTCAGTGTTTGTGTGCATTCCTTTCTCAGTGACAAAGCACCTGCAGTGTACAGTGACTTACTCCTGCCATGGAGTCCCTTGGAAGTGACACAACCAGAGCACATCTCCACATCCCTACATCCCTATCCTCTGATCATGTTACCCAAAACACCATTTTACCATCACATTAACGCTTCCATATCGTCTCCTTTCATTTGCCTGCCCCTTACCTAATTTTTCTTCCTGCTGATATAAGAGCATTTGACCATAAGAGAATCTCCTTAAAATGATAATCATGTGTGTATTTAATATTTAATATTTCTGCCTCCAATAAAAATAACAAAAGTCGTGAGGGGGAATTAATCTATAACAGAATGTCAGATGATTGAATCAGTGGTGCAAAGATAATCGGGAAGAAAGCGAAAAATTGACAAGGCAGAAATTACCATTATCCCTTTGGACGTGGGTTCACATGAGGGAATGATGAGCACAGTGCAGCTCATCAATTTCTTGTGTTAGTATCAGAGTGAAAAACCCATTTATTTTTTTTTTTTCCTCTTTGGCTGCAGGCTGTTTTCTCTGCATACTCTTCTCTAATTGGTCAGTCAATGTCGTGCCCCAGCCCTTTTCTTGGAATCACTTTAGTATATTCCCTACTTATTGAAAGACTACACAGCTGCATGAATAACACACATCTGTGCAAATTAGGGTAAGTGGCTGATATTTTTTTCCCCAAACAACTCAACTACATTTTGAACATTAATTATTTGATTGTTAATAAGAGGAGGAAACCTAAAGAAAACCTCAGAAGTAGCAAAGCTTCTGTGTTTCATTATTATATTTGGCAACAGTGGAGAATATCTGATTTATTGTTATGCAGCACAGCAAATCTGGAGATGACATTCCTACATTTATGCTGCTTAAAATACAAATTTAAGTAAGTTTTTAGGCTGCAAACATATGCCATTTGATTGCTCTTGATATGTATTTCTGCGTTAGTATTTGATATCCAGACATCCTTACGTTTACACATATTGCTGTATTTGAGAATAGATACCACAAATAAAATTAATATATACTTAAGTGCTGATGAATTTTGAGATACACTATAGTTGGCATAAGATGTCTTTTATTAGCCCAACATTTACATTTCATCATCACTTCCTAATTATAGACACATAAGTTGAAAAAGGAGAAACTGATTTTTTTTTCCTGACAGACTCTTTTAGTGAATGCTGAGACCTGTCATATTTTAAGATAAAGTCATCCTTGTTTTCACAGCTCCCTCTAAACCCATATAATAAATCATATGGTCTTTGTAGCTTCAGTACAAGACCAGAAAGATTAAACATATGCTATATTTTAAAAATAACAACTCTAATCAAAATTTGTGGGCACAATGTCTACTATTTTTAAGGCCGAACTTAAAATACTTCACGTCCTCATGCATAAGACAGCATCATCTTGGAGCTGCAAAGAGTTGCATGCTCCAAATTTATAGCATTATTCATGGCCTTCTTATTATATTACGTTATAGCCTTCTCTTCAGGCTTCAAACTAACAGACATGAGCTACTCGACAAACAAATCTCTATTTCAATAGAATCTATCATTAATTGGTCTTGGGCGAAGTGTTTTTGGTTCTCTTGAATCAGTGATACAAAAGCAGAATCTGAGTTTTTATGATAGTCCAGAAAGAAGAATTCATATTTACCTGCTTACTAGAAAAGGGCTGTCTGTTCTTCTAAGTGTTTATTATTTCTGTATTATTTCTGTATTTATTATTTCTGTAAATACACTGCATCCATATATAATGCTTTACTTCTCCAACTGTAAAATCCTGGCTTGTCACTTGTTTATTGGATCCCAATTTTGTTGTATTTTGATAGTAGATGGCTTTCAAGCAGAGCATGGGAAATTCAATAGTAGCATCTTATTTCAATAGCACTGTCCCACTTTTGTCAAAACCATTTCTAAAACCAATATAATACATATTAATTCTAACTATATGAAAAAATATGCTGTCTTTCCGCACAGAGAAAAACAAATATTTTGATGAGTGGTAGTATTTAGACAGTATGATAAAATCCCAGCTGCAAAAACATCACGTGATATCTAGTTATCTAGTCAAGTAAAAAAAACCATCTCTTTACTTAAGATCCTAAAAGTTATTATTTCAGAAAGAAGTAACTTATAAATAAATTTCTACTTGAAAACTGTTTATAATCTCTCAGGACATAAATGAGAAGTCATGTTTTTTTAATTTACGCATCAATTTGATTGGCTGCACAATGAGAATAGAGAATAAACTTTCTTTCCTCTACAGTGGCAATTTCCTCTACAGCTAGTCATCAGCTGCAGCTAAATCTAGTCTAATGATTTAGAGCAGAAAAATATCATCTGTGTATCCACATTAATTATGATTTCAGAAGGAAGGGCATTAGCACATTAGAAGGAATTTTGACAGACCTTATAAGCAAACTGTTAATTTTCTGAAGATATATATTAATAGATAAAGTCACTCACACAAAGGAAAAGGGCAGTTTTGGAAGTGAGAAGCTTATGTCCTATTTACTATTTACTAAATAGTGGTGTATTGAAGAGGACACTTCTTTCCTGCAATTATTGTAATCATAATTTTAACAAGTATTTCTGATGTTGCAATAATTTTAACACATGTATAAAAAAATTGCATGCATATATTTCTTAGTTTCCACTGGGGTGGAATTGTTTTCTTCACTGTCTGACATGATGCTATGTTTTGGTTCTAAGAGAAAAATAATGTTGATAACACATAGAGGTTATCAGTGTTTTAGGGAGCCAAGGCCATTCCAGTTTCTCAGCAAAGGTGCTGGGAGTGCACACAATCAGGACAGCTGACTTATACTGGCCAAAGATGTATTCCATACCATGTGACAGAATGAGGAAGGAGAGTCTTGAAGAGAGAGCAAGTTCACCTCTCTCTCTTCCACTGCTCAGGATGCCAGCTTGGCAGTGGTTGGCAGGTGGTGAGCAATTGCTTGTGCATCATTTGTTATATATATATAAAACAAATATTACAAATATATGAATATATGAATAATAATATATGAATATTCATATATTTGTAATATTTTTTTTTATTATTATTATTTTTCTTCATCTTAGTAAATAGTTTTATCTCAATCAATGAGATCCACTTTTTTTCCATTCAATTCTCTCCCCAGTCTCACTGGGAAGAGAAGTGAGCAAACAACTGTGTGACTTAGCCACCTGCCTGGTTAAACCACAGCTATATAAATAGCAGATTTACTATTAGATTTACTATAACTATATTACTAATAGATTACACTCTTCTTTAATCATCAGTCAACCTTGTTTCACAAGGTTGTAAAGTAAAATGCAAACATCACTTGGTGTAGGAAGTGACAAATTTATTTTAAAATGTTTTGTGTGCACAAAATTCATATTATTTTTATACTTGATTTAAAAATCACCAAATTTAAAATGTTTTAAAATAACACAAAACCACTAGTTGCGACTTCGTGAAACACACAGCATGCACTGAGGGAGGTAATATCTCAGACCCTTGTATATATTTAGAGATTCAGAGACCACAGATGGAAACAAAACAGATATCTTCTAATGGAAAAGTTCACTTGTCAAATACCAGTCTATTTCTTTCATTTAGCCAAACAACAACTCGAATGTATTAAAACCTATGAGGCGAAAAAGACTTCATCCTTCAGAAGTAGAGTCTATGTAGGAGCATACAGCTCTCACTCCACTCTCCCCTAAAAAGTTACATTATAAGAGCTAAGTTTCTCAGTCTCCCATCAGCCACAGTGAGGAGTATACACATTCAAAAATAAAAAGAACTAAAATATTAGTATATTTATAGTTGCTTACATGCAAAATTCTTAACCAATGGATGAAATAACCTAATGAAGATTTCTACACGAAAGCCTGTTTTTATTACACCCTCACTTTCTGGGTGTAAGTGCAACTGTTGGATCTGATGAAACATCAACTCCTCGTTGCACATCTCTTCAGCCAAAATTAAAAATAAAGTGATAGTAGCAATTTAATTGAAGGCTTAGCACGGTAACAAGTATGACTGCTTGTAAGTAATTTCTGTAATCACAGTCCCTTCTTTTCTTCCCTTAGATGCAATATTTTCATTCTCCTTTGGCTATTTTGTTTCTTTGATATTCAGACTTCGATTTTTCAAGGAACAAAGAGGCAATAATAATAATGAAAGAAAAGATTTTCTTCTCTTTCGATTGCTTTTTAACACTGCTTCAATAGTGTGACATGTTCACTGCAACATCGATGTAATTGAATATTCTGCCTTTTATCTGAATTGCTTCCTTAATTATCTGGAACTTTACAGTCTTAATTGCTAGAAATGCTTAAGTTCTGTTATATTTACCTGTAAGGAGGTAAGTGGAGTAATAATCCAGAACAGGCTGCACTTCAGACATGGGGAGGAGGAGATAATAGTAAAGACCACGTAGACAACTTTCTAATCTCTTATAAAACTCCTTACAACAGTTTGTACTTTTATTCATTTCTCAAGCTTAATAAATAAGAACCATTATATAATGGCTCTACACAGATATAGCCACATTAAAAATGCCTTATTTATTCAAAGAATAAAATAGTATCTATCTTGTGATATTATAATTTTATTTTAATTTATTTATTTATTTTTTTTAATTTGCAGTTTCCAGCATTGTATTTTTTCCAGTGGTATTGATCTGATCTCTTCTCTTTCTTTGATGAGAAAAAAAAAAAAAAGAACCCAACAAACCACCAAAAACCTCAAGAAATCAACAAGAAAACAACTACAAAAGGAAAGGAAAACAAACAAAAGTTCCTGGCCCTGAAAAAGTTGACAAAAATTCAACTAGATTCCATTGTGGAACTGCATAATAGTTATTATTATCAGCTTGCACCAGAGAGGTCTGTCTTCCAGTCTCAATGAAGTTGAACACTTCACATAATCCTTCCTACAAACTGACTAAAATCTGCAAAGTGCAACAACTTATTTCTTTTATCACTGCCAGACTTTACTCAAATTATTCAAACAGACAATGTTGAAAGACTTTACTTGGTAATTGCTCTGTTTAATCTTTCCTGGTCTGGCCACATGTAAATGACACAGATAGGTATGTTGCAATTCTAATGCACCCCAAGATGTTTAAAAGTTACACCCAGTGTAATGCTTTGTCTACAACAGCTGGACTGTATTCAGATGGGATGGAAAGGAAATTAAACCTAGACTATCATTTTTATCCTTGGCTGACTGTGAGTTTGTTGATATTTTGAGTAACTTAAGATACTGCTTTTAATTCACCATTTTAGCTGACAAGGTCACAAGGAGTTCCTTTGCAAACTCTTCACTAAAAAAAAAAAAAAAAAAAAAAAACCACAAAATAGAGATTACATTATGTTTCTGGTTTCCTCTTGTCAGGACAGATAAAGTTGAATAGAATTCTACTTTTGAAGCATTTTTTTTTTTGCTAAATTGCATGTTCCAGAGACAAACTACCGTTGTATTATTTCCTGCTTGCCTTTTCCACTTGTTTACTTCAGTAAAAAAGTGGCAGCTTTCTCTGTAGATACAGTTACATGTAATGTATTATGGAAGGTAAAGGATGAAAACAAGTGATCCTTGTCCAGCTGACAATCACCAATAATAGTGAAAGGATTTTAAATATCAATAGTGCTCTAATAGACTTTTCCAGACTAAAAAGCAGTAAAAGAGTGTTTTCCTCAAGTTCTTTATTGTTTGTTTATGAACTACTTCTGGAGATCATCTGGGTTGAAAAATGAACTGCCTAAACAGGAATGGGTGGGAGGAAGGGTTGATCAACAGGAATAAATCAGTGTATTCACACGTAGAATCATAGAGCTTCCATTTCAAATAGGAACATGACAGAAACACAGTTTGAGTGGAAGAACAACAGAGTAGGAGCAAAAACTTCAGCTTTGTGAAAGATTTAGCAAACAAAAGTAGTGTCTAAAATGTAGAAATTTTCTTGAATGCGAAAATTAACAAGCTGTGTCTTACCACTTCATGCTACGCATGATGTAACATAAAAGTCTAATGAAAGGCTGTTTTCACCTTATTGCCTGCTTTTATTGCGATTGATACAACTTGATATAATTGAGAAACTTTTTTTTGGTAGATACTGATGAATACATGTTAGTAACCCCACATTCTTTTTGTGAGAAGTTTTTTTTTTTTTTTTTAAATAGGAACACTTTTCTAATATAGAGCCTTATATTTTTATAAAATCTCAGAAGTTGACAGTTTGGATATCTTAATTGCTGAAAGTTCTGCAGATAGCAAAAATAAAGGGATAAATAAGTGGGAATATTACATTTTGAGACCAAACTTCTACTTCAATGGTATAAAATCAACATCATGCTTTAAGGAGATGTACAGTTATATAATTTATGAGGGAAAAAAAAAAAAGCTCTCATGATTCTCATTGTTAACATTATTTTTCTATGAAAGCTAGAGGTATGTGATGCTCCTAAACTTAATGTGTCTTATGCATTGATATAGGAGGAAGAAAATTTGGATAACTACAACTATTATCCAGTGGAAGTGATTAAATGTGGAAATTACTTTGTGTTGATTTGAAGAGTAAACAGTGAAATAATAGATGGAAAGATATACTTTCATGGAAAGTATAGATGGAAATATATATACAGTACTGAAATTAATCTGCTATATATCTTCATTCAAAGATGAAAATCCAGGTAATTCTCCTTTAACAAATTAAAAATATTTGATTTGACTGAAAACAATTTTTCAAATTTGATTTCAGGCCAACAGTGACTAGAAACAGTCATGAAGTTGTTTGTTTGTTTGTTTTTTTAAATGAAGAATACTGTTCTTTTATTTACAGTACAACCACAAAATAAAAGGTTCCTGTGATTCTCAATTTATTTATACTTTGTGCTGTAGTTGTTTTCATTTCAGAGAAAAACATTGAACATATTGTTCTCCATATTTCACAGAATCACAGAATTGTAGGGGTTGGAAGGGACCTCCAGAGATCATCGAGTCCAACCCCCCTGCCAAAGCAGGTTCCCTACAGCAGGTCGCACAGGTAGGCATCCAGGCAGCTCTTGAACATCTCCAGAGAAGGAGACTCCACCACCTCCCTGGGCAGCCTGTTCCAGTGCTCCGTCACCTCACTGTAAAGAAGTTCTTGCACACATTTGTGCAGAACTTCCTATGCTGCAGCTTCTGGCCGTTTCCCCTTGTCCTGTCTCCACTCACCACTGAACAGAGTCTGGCCTCACCATTCTGCCCCCCACACCTTAGATATTTATAGACCTGGATCTGGTCCCCTCTCAGTCTTCTCTTCTCAAGGCTGAACAGACCCAGTTCACTCAGCCTCATCATCTCCTCATAGGAGAGATGCTCCAGGCCCTTCACCATCTTCCTGGCCCTCCGCTGGACTCTCGCCAAGAGATCCCTGTCTTTTTTGTACTGGGGAGCCCAGAACTGTACACAGTACTCCAGATGAGGCCTTACCAGGGCAGAGTAGAGGGGGAGGATCACCTCCCTCGACCTGCTGGCCACGCTCTTTTTAATGCACCCCAGTATACCATTGGCCCTCTTGGCCACAAGGGCACACTGCTGGCTCATGGCCAACCTGTCATCCACCAGGACACCCAGGTCCCTCTCCGCAGAGCTCCCCTCCAGCAGGTCATCCCCCAACCTGTACTGGTGCATGCAATTATTCCTCCCCAGATGCAAGACTCTACACTTGCTTTTGTTAAACCTCATCCTGCTTCTTACTGCCCAGCTCTCCAGCCTGTCCAGGTCTCGCTGAATGGCAGCACAGCCTTCAGGCATGTCAGCCAATCCTCCCAACTTCATATCCTCAGCAAACTTGCTGAGGGTGGCCACTGTCCCTTCATCAAGGTCATTGATGAAGATGTTGAACAAGACTGGACCCAGCACTGACCCCTGAGGAACACCGCTGGTTACAGGTCTCCAACCAGACTCTGCACCGCCAACAATGACCCTCTGCACTCTGCCAGTCAGCCAGTTCTCAACCCACCTCACTGTCCACTCATCTATCCCACACTTGCTCAGCTTTGTTATAAAAATGTCGTGGGGGACAGTATCAAAAGTCTTGCTGAAATCAAGGTATACTACATCCACTGCTTTTCCCCCATCCACACAGCCAGAGACTGTGTGGATGACAGAGACTTATAGAAGGCTACCAGGTTGGTCAAGCACGACCTCCCCCTGGTGAACCCGTGCTGACTACTCCTGATAACCTCCTCTTCTTCCAGTTGTCTGGAGATGACATCCAGCACAAGCTGTTCCATCACCTTTCCAGGGACAGAGGTGAGGCTGACTGGCCTGATGAAATGTAATGAGACTAATTAATGTGTTCAGAACAAAGATATTTAATTTGGTAGCAAACCACAGTAGATGTTTTATACAGAACTGCTCACTTTAAACCTCCTCATGCAGTCTTAATGAAACAAAGCTATCAATATGCTGGGAGCTTGTTAGTCTGGACACACATACCTGGACCTGCCTGTCACACCAGTGTAAAATGTATTTCCGTGCAAGACCAGTAAGGATTATCATTACAGGATAGAAGGCACAAGAGGAGGGCTAGGCTGCTAATTTACCTTAACTAGAAACAATTTCTTCACAGCCTACACTAAGCGCTTCATCCATCAGATGAGTACTGTATAATGCTTTGAATGCACATTATAACTGACTGGCATCTTGACTTACATAGACTACAAAACATCACACTGAAGAAAAAAATATTTATTTCTAGTAGCAACTGCTGCTGGATTGTATTTTTTTTGTTATGCATCCTGCTAGAAAGATTACATAGCGGTATAAAGACATTCAGTGGCCAGAGATAGATTTAGTGCATGCTGGTGGTTTTCAGCAAAAAATAACAGTAGCTACTTTACAAAAGGTACAACGAGACTACCTCAAAATATTTTGAGCAGGGATTCCTGATGCGTTACAAGGTTTGAGGTCTGTGACATTTTCCTCCAACTGTGCTGTTCATCTTTTAACACCTGCTACACCTGTGTTAGTTGTAGTTATGTCTTCCAGTAGGCACCAGAAATCTTATAAAAGCAAAGTCACTAAAAGACAAACAGTAAGCGATAGAGATTCAAAGGCATCAAGAGATATTTAAGAGCAAAAATAATGTAGTATGTTTAACATCCATATATTCTACCCTCTTTCCCTGAAAATTTTCTTGACATTATTGAGGATGCTATGCGCAACACAATGGAAAATACAGCAATGACAGCAGAGTAGCAAGGTCCTAGGCTACAGCAAACGAGGGTATACTCAAATGCAGCAGCAGGCTGAAAAACAAAGGAAAACATGTGCTAACCTATAGAAGACCTGAGGGACACATGGATCTCCAAACAAACACCCTCACCTCCACTGCCAGCCTTTAAATGAGGTCTGGGAAGGGGGGGATCCTGGTTCAACCATCTCTTGTCTCTCATAGGCAATGAATGCACCTGAGCTCCCCTGGGTTGGCCCCGCCTTCCCACCAGGTGCTCAATCACTGGTTCAAACCATGACTAGCATTTCCACGACACTATGCTTGTATGCACAGAGGTGCAGGAAAAGAGTAAATATTGGATAAAGGGTACAAAAGGCACAGGAAAATTAAAGAGTATATAAACTGTAGAAAAAAAAGCTTGAAAGTGGAAAATAAATGAAATATTTTGCTAAATATCAGAAACATGAGCCTTGAAGACACTGCTGTGTTTAATGGATCATTTTCTTTCTCTTCACTCATATATCTCAGTTATTATCGAGTTAGAAATAAAGACACAGAGGAATAGCTCAATTATATTGATCCTGAAACTAGAACATGCAACGCAATTTAGAATTCCTGAATTGAACTGGAAGGAAAACGAGCAAGAACTTTAAAGAACTTGAGTACTGTTTTCCATTCAAAACATTTGAGAATGTAAGAACATTTTAGAAAATGGAGAATATAATATTTTTTGAAATAATTAAGAAAATAATACACTTTCCATGGTGAAATCAATTATATTCATGAGAACATTTAGAAATGCTTCTTGTTCTAGGGATGTGTTGTTTGAGATGGCAGACTGTAGTAGTCTACATACCGTACAAAAAATATCCCCAACAAAATCTGAAATACTTCACCAAAAGAAATTTTAGCTTGAGGTTGAAGACAGGAAAGACAGGAAAATTGTTTGAGGGCTAGTACTGCTATTTATACCACAATTTCCTTTTTAT